GAAACGTTTTGGAAAGTTTGTTAAAAGATGTTTTGCAAAGTCATTTAACAAAGTTTATAATTTTATTGGATAGTCAACATGGTTTCACTAAGGGAAAGTCTTGCCTTACAAATCTTTTGACATTATTTGAAAAAGCTGGTGCTTATGTAGATGAGGGTAATGGTGCAGATTTGGTGTATCTGGATTTTCAGAAAGCATTTGACAAGGTGCCACATAAAAGGCTTGTAAAAAAATATATATCTAAAGGTGTGGAGGATATGTTAGCTAATTGAATAGAAGAGTGGTTGGATGGAAGAAACCAGAGGGTTGTTATAAATGTAGTTCAGTCAAATTGGATTAATTTCACAAGTGGGGTACCTCAGGGCTTAGTCTTAGGACTTTTACTCTTTTTGATTTACGTCAATGACATAGATGAAGGAATAGTCAATAAATTTGCAGATGATATTAAGGTTTTGAGTGTTGCTAGCTGTGAGTTGAGCAAATAAATGGCAGATGGGTTTGAATTATAATAAATACAAGATAATGCATGAGGGTTATCATAATTTCAATTATAAGTATAATTTGGATGGGAATAACCTTAACAGTGTTATGAAAGAAAGGGATCTTGGTGTAATAGTCGATCAATATCTAAAGCCATCCAAGCAGTGTGCTATTGCTAGTCATAGGGTAAATAGGATTTTAGGTTGTATCTACATAAATATTGAATACATGGCTAAAGAGGTTATAGTTTCATTGTACAGGTCACTGGTTAGGCCACATTTGGAATATTGTGTTCAGTCTTGGGCTACTTACCCTCGGAAAACATTGAATTGTTGGAAAGGGTTGAGAGAAAGGTTACTAGAATGGAGCCTGGGATGGAGGGGTTGCCATATGAGGAGAGGCTGAAATCTCTCAAATTGTTTTCTCTTGAAAAAAGAAGAGTTAAGGGGGATCTGATTGAAGTGTTTAAGATTGTAAAGGAAATTGATGGTGTTGATGCATCATCTTTTTTTTCATACATAATGGTGAGAATAGTAGGACTAGGGGACACAAATATAAATTTTGGCAAGGGAGGAGTCATCTTCAGCTAAAACAGTTTCATTTTTCTAACAGGGTGGTTGGCCTTAGAATGGGTTGCATTTGGATGTTGCAGAGGCAGTAGATTTAAGTGAGTTTAAGAAAAGGCTTGATAAGTATATGAATGATAAGGGCTGGCTTTAAGATTTTTTTAAATTATTTAAATTTAGTTTAGAAGATGGAACAGCTGAGATGGATCAACAAATCCCATGTTGTCCCCAAAAATTATGTTATTTTCAGAAATGTGAATTTTCTTTTTCTTTTTACATTTTAACTTGATATTTTCAAGGAGGTCAATAACCTTTATTTTTTTATTCTTTTAAAATCTATAAGGAAAACCAAGACTACCTTACAGGAAATGTAAGTAATACCTCTTTGATACAATAATTTGCAGGTCTGTTTATATGTTTATGACCTCTTGTTTCCATTCTAAAAGTGTTAACTGTTTTCAAGCAGATTTGTTCCGGCTGATAGCAGATGTAAATGGTTGTGCTGATGAACGTAAGCTTGGTCTTCTTCTTCATGACTGTGTACAGGTAATGTTTCTTGTTATTTCTTTTGTTACAAGAAATTACATTAAGATGTCAGTGAATTTAATAGTTTTCATTTTTATATCAAAAAAATGAAAGAGGAGTCAAATAGTTGAACCTACATTTATGATTGTGAGAATTCAGTACGTGCAACCTCAGTCACTTTTACGAAAGGTTTATACTTCTAGTCTCTGTTGTCTCTGATTCTTATTCTGAAGCCCCTTAACTTTTCTAAATTTTCTAAATCAAGTTAGAGAAGCTAGAGAACCCTGTTTCAGCTTAATTTGGCATTTTTAACAGTTGTATTTTTTATACCTTTGGTTTGTCTAGCATTGTGGGAAATGGAAGGTTTTCTATTTTGTATCATTTTGTTCTGTGTTAGATCTTTAACAAATCTTGAAATGAATTTGATAGAATATACATTTTAGGCATGAATGTTACTTAATAGTAAGAGAAGTTTTCTTTTGCAGTGAGCTTGGTGGGTAAAATAATTCATATCTTTCTTGTGCATATATGGTATGAAATATCAAAATAGGCATAACATTTGAAAATATGTGTATTTGTCACAATTATTATACAGTGAAAAAATTCTTTACAAGTAAAATATAGAGAATTAATGCAAATTTAAAGATTTGTTTTGCTATATATTTTATGCAATATTTTGTTTTCCCAAAGTTTTTCTTTTATGTATACATTCTGATAACTTTATTGGGAACTCCCTTCAATATCTCAATTGACCACCTATAGAGATAATATCATCTTGAATTCTTGATGAAATTAATACTGCAAGATGTGTCTGAATGCATCTTGAGATTTGAATAACTAAGTATCCAACAGTTCAGTTTTCAACTTGCTTGATGTTATTGGAATTAAGGCATCAAATCAGACATTTTAACTCAACGTAGAGGTGGTCACTGGTCACTGTGATTCACATCTGCTGATTGAGCTTTATTTACCAGAGAAAATATTCACTACAGTTAGTATAATGCTTTAGGAACTAATTGTGGACCATTCCAGGACTGTGTATTGTAGCATCATCATCCTGGATGAGGCTTTCCATTAAAATACACAGTAAGCATAAAAAGTTTACTTAGCCTTTAAGGGAGATAGAGGACTAGACTGTGCCAAAAAAAACTTCTCTACACACACACTATCATTCTTCTACCTGTAGTGGACACCACACAACTTAGGCATCATGTCTTATGAAGTTTTCTTTACACTGTAGTCTCCCCCCCATCCATGCAGAATAGGCTAAATCTCTATTTATTTAACTACTTGATATTTTTTCAATTATTTATTATCCACTTTCATCTCTCCAAGCCACACTGCATCTACATCTTTCTGATGTATGACAGTATCAGCAGTTTATGCAGTGATTGTTGTTTGCCATACAACATCTGGTGCATCTCCCTGCACATGGTATGCAGTGATAAGATGGAGGTACTGCCAGTGTTGAACAAATCCATTAGTTGTTCACTGCCTTATCTTTAAAATTCCTCATAGTCCTCTTTACAGAATGAACTTCTGTTTGACACCAGACTTCTTTTGACACATTTCTACCTTCTGGCTGAGGTTCTTCCTTTGGCCATTCAGTTTTTGAACTGCTAGTCAGCACCCCTGTCTTAGAGGTGAAGGGACCTGTTAGGTGGGCTCAGATCATTGTTTCTTGCTAGAACTCAAAGAAGTCTTTGCACAGCTGAATGGAATATTGCTGTAGCAATAGTTTTATAGACCTCCTGTAATCATGATTATGACCAGGTGCTGAATCTGTGAAAAAGCTTATTGATATGACAGGATAATACCTTTAAAGTAACCAGTATGTGTAGATGTTTTCATGTTGAGACATTAAACCTCAAAGCTGAAACACATTTAACTTATGAACTTCTCAAAATTAAATATGGAGGAAAAAAAAAGTAACCTGTTGAGTGAAGCAAAAAATACATTTCTATGTTATTTTTATATTAATGTGTCTATTTTATGATATAGTACCTGTAAAATTTGTTTTATTAAGTTGTGGCTTAATCTGTTACTTAGAATTAACTTAATATGCTGTAGTGAAATAATGGAGAAAATTATCAGTAATGATGATCTTTTTTATGAGTAATGTATATTTTGCTATCTAAATGTTTTGCAAATACTTTGTGAAAGAAGACTAATTTTACAGATTCCCAGGTTGCTGGGAGAAGTAGCTGCCTTTGGAGGAAGTAACATTGAACCCAGTGTGCGAAGTTGTTTTGAAAAGGTTAGTCTGTGTATTATGCAAGCTCTTTTGACCTACAGTGTTAAGAGATATAAGATACTGCAATAAAATACACATACAAATACAATATCAAAGAATTAATATATTATATATATCTGTAATGAAGTTTTTATTTATACAAATAACAGTATATATATACTTATATTAGGTGTTGTAGTATTATGTTTTGTTTCTTTATATGTTGAAAAATGCATACATATTTTTGTATGCAAATACAATAGTCTATCATTTAAAGTGTAAATTAGTCTTATTTCCAAGATAAGAAAAACACTGTTTACACTTAAATACTAGTGATGATTCACATTACAATACATTAAAGTTCTTTTTAAGTCATATGAATATTTTGAAAGATTGATAAAGTTACAAGTCTACTAGTTGGTCAGTGGTAAGTTACATGACTAACAATTCTAAATTCTGGGCTTTGATTCCCTGCTATGAACAGAACAAAGATAGCCTATTGTGAAGCTTTGCACTAGACAAACAGAAATTTGCAATATGATGTATTAAGATTTTGAAGTTATATTTCACTATCATATAACTATCTATTGTGACCATTTTGGAATACATATTTGTCATTGTTTACTTATATCTTCAATATAAATTATCTAGGTTTTTAACTGAAATTTTTGCTCTGGAATTTGATTTTTGAAATTAAGAGTATTCTTTACTGATCTTAATGCTGTGATTGCTACAGTTTAAGAACTGTTTAAAAATAAAGGCAATATATTGTTTTTATTTTAAATTATAGGATCAAAGTGTATGGTTATTATAGGTCTACAATACGTATGAAAGGGAGTTATTGCAACTTTTGACAAAATATTTCAATTAGCCATTGTCATCTTTGTAGGGAAATAACAAGAAAGAAATTCAAGTAACACATTTCCTCAATTGGCTCCAACAAGAACCCCAGTCTCTTGTGTGGCTTCCAGTTCTGCACAGACTTGTAGCTGCAGAGAATGCCAAGCATCAGGCCAAATGTAACATCTGTAAACAGTATCCAATTATTGGATTTAGGTTAGGTACCAGTTGTCTTAATCAACTGCTATTATCTATAATGGATATCCTGTTATTGAATTAAAGTTAATTAATATTTATTTTATCCATTTAATATGATCTGGAACCAGTAAAAATTATGAGATTAAATATAGCTGATTTACTATGTGTGCTCTGTATACCAGGCATATAAATAGTTAAACTCCTCCCCCTGCTAAAAGTGGATTAGATATCCATGGTGACTACAGCCCATTGTATAGCTTTTTGTTAAACAAATCATTTAACATTAAAATGTTATCCAATGCTTCATAAGTTTAAATTGAAATCTTACATTAAGTTATATAAATGGAGTGAAATTGATTATGCATCTTTAAAAATTGTGCTTAAGTAAAATGCATATGTAAATAAATATCCTTCATTGAAAACATAAAACTTATTGAAACAAAGCTTGGTTTTTGTTTTTATTGCATTCAATCATATAACTCATTAATTAGGCTGGATTTATGGCAATCAAAAGTATATTTGAAATACTGTTTGTATACAATACAAAAGACTTATTTCAAATGTGTGAAAGTAATGAGACTTTTTAAAACTAATAAAGTGATTAAAAATGCACTTGACTGCATATGTTTATCCTCACTTTTTTAATAATTTATTTAGTGCACTTGTTGCCTGTGGTCACTCAATGGTGAATTTGAGGGCTTATAAAACAAAAATTTCAAATTTCAAATACTTGTGATAAGCAGAACACAGATAACCACTTTTGTAGATTTGTGCTTAAGAACAAAAACAAAAATTAATGCATTTGTTAATGAGGAACTGTAAAACTTGCAGATATTTTAGATGTACAAAAACTGTTCTCTGCTTGATTTTTTCATTACTTTATCTTCCAGATACCGATGCCTGAAGTGCTTCAATTTTGACCTCTGCCAGAACTGTTTCTTCTCAGGAAGGAAAGCTAAAGGCCATAAACTTTCTCATCCCATGCATGAATACTGTGTGATAGTAAGTTACAAAAAAAAGGTTGCAATTATACTCTTATGTCACTTGAAATTTTCATTTCTAACTATCCATGTATTAGATGAAATAACAAATTATGCTGAAACTTCTAAAATAGTTTTCTGGTTGAACAGTGGTAAGTTTAGAGACTTACAACACAGAAATCTGGGGTTCGATTTCCTGGGGTAGATACAGCAGATAGCCCAGTGTGGGTTTGATCTAAAACAAACAAACAAAGTTTCTAAAATAAAGTGAAAGAAACCAATATTTAACACCATCTAAAACTTTTAGAGCAAATAAACATTTTCTAGGGCTTATACACATGTTTAAATAAAACAGTAAAATAATAGATTGAAAATAAATTCAGTTTTTTGTTTGAAAGGTGAAGGTCTTATTTAAATTAATTTATTTTTCACTTTTTACTGTCTTATTTAAAAACCTAATCAGTTCTTATATACACAGCTGTTTTTGCATCATCACTTTCAAGCCAACTGTATAAAAAGAGTATAAACAAAATACTTTTTGTTCAGATTTATGGTTTATGTTGTAGTCTGTCAAAAACTAAGACAGAAGAAGATGGCTTTTTATTTGATGATTGATAATGAAGAAATTATTCAGGTTTTGAATTTATAATCTGTCATCTTAAATGCTCTTTGCAGGTTTAGTTCCAAATGTTCTAGGCCTATATATCTTTTGTGTAATTAATAAAATTAACTCCTGCATTTTCACAATTAAAAATATGCTGAAAAGTTAAGAATTCTTAAGTAATAAAGTTGATTTCACAAATAGTTGGAAAACCAATTAATATGGCTTATATTTAAATATTACCCTTATATAGAAATGTAATAACTACATGCATAATTACCAGCACAATCTGAACACTTTTCTTGTGCAGTACTTCCCGGAAAAATCTTTTTTTTTTTTTGAGAAAATGTTCAATTTTTCTGCATTTTTTTTCAATGAGGTATGAACACTACTGCTAGTGATTAAAATAGATATAAATCAACACCTTTATATTTATTAAGAATAGGGCTATATTTTTTTAAGAGACTTCACAAGAATAGTTCTTAATAAATTCAAATCAAAATGCCATTTTATAAAATATCAGATGGGTTATCTTCTTGTCCAGACGGTACTGGAAGGTGATGATTTAGAGAGTCCAGCACTGTCTTCACAATATAACCCTATTCTTAGCAAATCAGATGTGTTCATTTATATCTGTTTTAATCATTCTCTTCTCTCTTAGTACAAGTTTTATTTATTATACCTAAATTTTACAGTTCATTGATAAATTACTGTATTTGTTGCAACTGCTTAGTTGTATGGTTGTAGATTACTATTGGTTATATAATCTCATGTGATCCCTTTTTACATTAGATTCTGTTAGCCTCAGTTCTTGTATCCCACCTGATGATGTCGGTGAACCTGGTGAAACATTGTATGTAAAAATAAACAAAAGTTGTATTACGTACAACTCATAAACACTTGTATGAAACAGATACATTACACAAATTCAGTACTTACAACCAAAAACAAGAGTACAGTATACATATATTTAAAAAGAGAAATTGCATAAGCAAATACTATGAAGATTATCATTACTTTTTTAAAATTGGTTTGATATATGACTTTAAACATACAGACAAAAAGATATATGAAACATTATATTCTAATTTTTATAGACTACTTCTGGAGAGGACATGAGAGACTTCACAAGAATAGTTCGTAATAAATTCAAATCTAAACGCCATTTTAAAAAACATCATCGGATGGGTTATCTTCCTGTTCAGACAGTTCTGGAAGGTGACGATTTAGAAAGTCCAGCACCGTCTCCACAACATGCAGTTTCTTCAAAAGAAATGCATTCCCGTTTAGAGCTGTATGCTAACAGGTTTAAAATTTTTTCTCTATCTCTTTCACCTACAATAAATTTCACTTCTTTTCATTTTACTAATGTTTATAAGTACTAGTTATTGAGAGGATTTGAAATATATGTGTATTTAGTTGCATATAAAATATTAATACAAATAATTTAATGAAGAATAGAAGTAGTGTTTAAACATTCAGTTTTAATTTAAAGAGTTAATCATGTTTTATACTACAGAATCTTGAAAATTGTATTAGCATTAGCTTCACTATAAAGTTTACAAACCTCATCCTTAATTTTCGTCTTAAAATTCCACAATTATATATACACAGCATGGTCACAAGTGAATAGACACCACCTTTTCAGAAAAAATTAAAATTTTCAGTCATATTCACATGAATTGATATATTTATAATTTAATTAATATCTAGTAGATCTTCCTTTCGCTTCGTGGAGTTTGTTGATCTCTTGGGGCTTTGTGAGAATCATCTTGTCAATTTTAGATTGTGGAATTTTCGCCCACTCTTGCTTCAAACTTGGAGTAGATCGCTCTTTGAAGTTGGTTTTTGTTGGTTGTTTCTTGACTTGTCGGTCGAGTATGGCCCAGAGGTTTTCGATGGGGTTCATGTCAGGAGATTGGCTTGGCCAGGACAACTTCTGGATACCATTTCCTTCCTGCCACTTTTGGGGTTTTTTAGCAGTGTGACACAGTGCTCCATCTTCCTGAAACAACGTTGTGTTCTTGTTCAAGAAACCCGAGGAATAAAGTGGCAAGAGTCCTTCCTCCAAAATTTCACAAAATTTATGTTGCCAACGCACTCCACTAAGCTCAATC